AGAGTGACAAATTAGTTAGCAGAGTTAACACAATACCTTGAGGAGTATTGTTGTGATTTGAAGGGTGACCACGCTCTGCAAACAGGTTGCGTACTGCCAAAATCGGTAAGGGGAGACGACACGACGGTTTAGGGAAGTGATCAGATTGAGAAAGAGGGGCACATTGCTGCGAATTGGAGGACTGTCAGGAGGTAAGCGTTCGACGCTTTGACTTAAGTTTGACGGTGTTACTGCGCATTTGGCCGCCATTGTGAGGCCTTCAGGCGTACCAAGATTCCAAGGCCCTCTCCTGGGAGTTGAGTTGTCCCTCTCCTGTATCTCGAGAGTCTGAAACCCCTCTTTCTGTCTTTCTTACTCAAGTCTAGTCCAGTTATGAGAGGAAGGTGGCAGGCGGGATTGCAACCCGTAGGACCGCAGCAAGACTCTGTGGGGAGTCTGCCCATCGATTGAGGGAGCTCTACCGGAACTCAGAAGGAGTTCTGGAGGCAGGGAAATGAGAAGTAACCATTGCTTTCCTTTTATAAACCCAACTATAACCCATATGCGTACTTCTTGCTATGTTTGACTAAGTATACTGTGTGCACCCTTACTTTGACTTTGAGTTTGACTTTCAGGACTTAAACCAGACTTAATAAAGGAAGATATGCGCAATGTCAGTTTCAGTTTTGTTGTCTGACTGAGAGCAGATTGTGGGATTGCATATGGGGGAAGGATGGGAGGAAGGCATGTTTGCTTTTGTCTGACTGGGTCAATCAAAGGCTGGGCAAGTCTCCATAAGTTTGGGGAGGCCCGGTGCTATGTGTATTCTTGAATTGCCTGGAGAACGAGACATGTTCCATAAGTTTGGGTGGTCTGGATGCTTTGACTTGTGAGGGCTGTTTGTGGCTGACTTTTTAGGAACCAAGCATTGTCCCACATAAGTTTGGGTGGCTTGGTTGCCTTGTTTATTTTGGGTTTTCTCAGTTTCTTTTGATTCTGAACGAGGGGGTCTGAGCATGTTTCATAAGTTTGGGTGGCTCGACCCCTTCCTGTTTTATTTAAGGGAACGATGCCGAGCGCATCGGTCCGGCACCGCACAAGACAGAGCGGGACCCTCCCGGCCGCGTCACACAGGAGTTGGACTAAATCCTCGTCGCGAATATACATGGAGCTTCCGCAAGCCACTCCGCCCGAGTGCGCCAGCCATACCTCTTGCGAGCCCCTACGACGGGATAGGGCTTACGCGAGGCACGACTTACCTCCACCTTACGGGAGCTGCCACCTCCCTTCGGTGGGTGTATCCCCGCCGAGCTACCAGTCCACAATACGAAAGTTGATCAGCTGCAATCGCAGAGGTGGACCAGCCGAGGGTGTTTCTCGTTCGCTGTAGCATAGGGGGTACGCATGGTATTACGCCTCTATCGAACCCGCACGCGAACCGGCATCTCGGGGGGCTGAGGTCCCAAGCGCGACTCGTCGCCGGTCGACTAGGACGCATCCCACACGCCATGCGTACACCACTATAAAGGACATAAAAATAAAAGCACACACACACACGCACGTACATATACACATACAAAACGACACTGAACAAACAACGCGACAACACTCCTAGTTCCTTAGTAGTCATCCCATAACTTTCCGATGTGGAAATCGGATAGGCGTCGCGCGCGAGACATAATATAAAACCGCGCGGACGCAAGGCTAACTCATATCGACTCGCAATGCAAACGTACACAAGCGGTCGTAGTGATGGCGTTCTATGTAGTACCCATACTCGTGCGATCCTCGTTAATCTCGAGGGTCGCGTTCGACATTCAAGTGTCGGCTGACACGTGCCTTGAGGGCTAATCTCTCGACCTTGGACAACCGCCAAGTGCGGTTGAAAACCACACCCTCTTCTGCACCCTGCGAAGAGTGGGTGGTACACAGGTTCATACCTGTGGTGACAATCGTCTCTTATCGCCCTGGAGTCCAGCTCCATCATCTAGGGCCTGGAGAGAAGTCAAGGGGTTTGACTTTGACGGCTGCCACGGACTACAACGTCCAATTATAAAAATCTTTAAAAAGCAAAGGATAAAAGGGGATCTCTCTTTTCTCACATGCATGGTCACAGTAGACCGCGCGAAAACATCCAAGCCATGTTGTCCTCTTCTCCCTCTCTGCCTACGGTTTACCGGGCAGTTCTATTTGACGATATATATATGTATATATTAAATTAAGGGTTATTAATATAGGATGATCGCTTCTCACAGTCACATTGAGACTCCTCTCATCCATATATATATGTATGTGAGCGCAAGCAGTCAAATCCAAAGTCTGAATCACCAAATATATCTGCAATCACATCAAAGATTCAACCAAAAAGTCTATGCACTACACGGGGTCAACTTCAACCATTCTCTGCACTCACACCCTTTGCTTTTAGCCATACAAGCCTCACTCTTGTGCAACTCCTCAAAATAAAATACTCAGTATTTTTCTTTAAATGACCATTCAAATAAAGTCCGGGCGAAAACACAATAAAACAGTTCAAATCACAAGGCTAAAGCCTTTAGGTTGAGTAGCAGGAGTGCATTGGAGTTGAATCGTAAACCGACGAATCGACAACCGACCTGTTATTAGTGATAACAGAAGATGATCCTTGTAGGATCAAGCTGAATCTAGCCCAAATCCTGAATCAATCGATCAAGAAGACCTGTAACACAAGACAGACCAATCCCCAAGCTAAGTTTATAAGTTTAAGGAGAATAATCTCCATATCACGATCTCACTCAAATCATCCTATTTAACTAAGCCTAAGTCTACCTCTAAGCAAGTGCCAAAAGAAAGGTCGACCCTGGCAGAATGTCCTCTATACAGAGTGGATTTCCAAAATTGCCACCTGTCAAAGTATAATCTTACTCCTCTAAACTAAGAAAATTTCGGCAGCGCTTCCCGTAGGAAAAGTGCCTTTCCAAAATTTATATCAGCTTGAATACGAAAACAGAAATAGTCTTCAACTTTCCAAAGTCCAATTTGTCTAACTCCCTGAATTAGCAAAAATTTGGGCAGCACTCCCTTTAGGAAAGGAGACTTCCCAGATTTTTACTAGGCCATATATAAAATATAGACAAGTTGAACTTTAAAAAGTCAAAAATTGTCTAACTCCTTGGATTGCAGAAATTTCGGCAGCGCTTCCCGTAGAGAAAGTAGCTTACCAAAATTTATACAAGACCAAGTATAACAAAATATCTCAGAAAATGCGAAAATCGACCTAAATAAAAATAACTTAGCTAAGAAAATGCGGGAATTGAAACTAACTCCTATGGCTCTAGCACGTGGCGAGCATCTAAAGCAACTACCTATCAAACTGAACTCAGACCAAGTAGTAATCTCACTCAGTCACATGCAAGGCCAAACCACAAGGAGTAAGTACTCTCACCATCCCTAAGTTATCTCACATGAGATAGTTCATGAATCTTCAGATAATTCAACCCTTATACCCAGCTTACATATGGCGTAGTGCTAGACCATTCAGCTTAGAAACAATGTCTAGCATGCCTGTAGGATATACAGGAACAGATTGCACTACTACTTCTCTCTTCTTTGGGCATATGACTAGACCATTCGGCTTGGAAACAATGCCTAGTCGCCCTGAACTGTTTAATATCCAAAATTTAATAACTTTCTAACGTTGTTTTCAAAAGAAAGTGCAAATATGGGCAGGGGACTGAACCATTCGGCTTGGAAACAATGTTCAGCTTGCCCATACTATTTTCAATTATATTTTGTAATTTCCTTTCTCCTCTTAGTGATATGGCTTAGCGTTGGACCATTCGGCTTGGAAACAATGCCCAGTTGCCAGCTCACATGCAAGTATAAGTAAAATACTTTCTTTTATACTCAGGTTGTACTTATGTGCGTGGGTTTCAGGTAAGCCATTCAGCTTAGAAACAATGCTCAGCCTTAGACCAAAAATCCTCCCTCAGAATAAAACAAAAAAAACTCTTCACATCAGGCAAACCCTCAAAAAATAAACATAACAACCAGGCCATTCAGCTTAGAAACAATGCCTGACCCTTCAGAAAACAGCCAAATAAACAGAGTCGTGGGCCATTCAGCTTAGAAAAAATGCCCAGTCCTTGGTTGACCCGGTCAAACGCATGCAGTCTGCCTTCCTCCCACCTTCCCCCAGTTCATCCGTTAGTCTGTTTTCAGTCAAAATAAAGAGAAACTTAAGCTTCACACACACACATTCCTTCAATTCAATCTGATTAATCCTGAACAGAAAGCAAGAATTGAACAGAAAGCAAGAATCATAGGGACAATCTCATGCATATATCAGCCAAACTAAGGGGAGAAAAACAAACAGGGGTATAGTGGGGTCATACAGATAGAGAATGATATACCTGATGGTTCCCTGCCTCCAAAACCTCGCCTAGGTTCCGGCAGAGCTCCCGCAATCGGTGGGATGACTCCCCACAGAGTCTTGCTGCGGTCCTACGGGTTGCAATCCTGCCTGCCGCCTTCCTCTCAGAACAGGACAAGACTTAGATTAAGAAATGCAGAAGATAGGGGTTTCAAACTCTCGATGCAGAAGATAGGGGTTTCAAACTCTCGAGATACAGGAGAGGGACTGACTCAACTCTCATGAGAGGGCCTTGTTACCTTCACGCGCCTGAGGGCCCCGCAATGATGGTCCGGAATGCACAGCGGCCTGGTCAATCCTAAAGTCAAACTGCCCGTTGTCGGCGCGAATACCCTTACAAGGGTATCCGCCCTGGTTTTTGCAAGTGACAGAAACTAAGTCTGGTTAAATTTGAGTGTACCGCGCGAGTCGCGGCAGGATGTGGATTGAAGGTTCAACCAGAGGGACTAGAAATAGAGAGTGTGTGGGCGCGCGGGTTTAAGGCGCGCGTGATCCATCCCTTATTGCTGATTATGAAACCGGCGCGGGCGCCGGCCTATTTATTTTTATTTTTGTTTATTCTTGATTAAACTAGGCCGTGGGGGATATTGTTCGTTGATTGGTATGTTAGACCGAGATGCGCGCGCGGAGAACGACCTCGAGGACGACTTCGACGGCAGTGACGGCGGCAATGGTGTGACTGCGGTAGGTCTTGGCACGCGGGGTGGCACGAGTGGCGGTCATGGTACAACTTGGTAAGTCGGCGCAGACGCTGGGCGACCGCACGCACGATTGTAGGCAGGGGTGAGGCTAGGCCAATTTCCCTGGCCCCGAGCGCAGCACCGCTCCGCCTCATATAGCACTCCACGGATGTGGGTCTTAGGCTTGGGCTTAGCCCTATAGGCTATGGGGTCGGGTTGCGGCTACGAAGGTTCAGGGGTCGAGGCCAGCGAGCGGTGGCGCGGGAGCAGCGGAGCAGCGAGGAGAGAGCCGAGGGGTGGAGGGCCGCCAGGGCCATCCCCCTCAGCTTTTGCTAATAGAAGGTAGCGGGCCCGACCCAAGGGATTGGCGGGGGCAACCAGCAGTCCACCTTTAAAGAACCGAGGTTTTATATATGTTTATTTTTGCCTTTTCTTATTTTTTTTTTTTTAGTGTTTGGCTTGGACAAAAAGTCCCGTTGTCCTCAGGACAGAATACAGCGCCGCAGGGTATGGCGAGGCTAAACCCTGCGGGACCGCTGTAAGCGTTGGGGCGGCGCGAAGGGGGCTGGCAGGGCCCGCACCTGCAGACGATCCGTATAAAGTCGGGAGAGGGTCCGACGGGCGGGGCCTGTGCGGTCTGATAGTTGGAAACCGATCGGACCATGCAGCGCTGGATGGATAGCGGGGGAATGAGTGTCAGGCCGCAAAGTGACGGGCGCAGAGGGAAAAACGGGTAGCAGGGGATAATGGCGCAGCTGAGCCACCAGAGCCGGTAGCACTATTGAGGCGAAAAATGGGGGGTCGGTTAACCTTTTCTCCACCACTAGGCTGACAGTTGGCCACAAGCGCTCGCACCGTGAGGTATAGCAGCGGGGGTGAATGCGGGCGTCAGCCGAGGCCTGGTACATGCAGAAACGGAGGGGCTGGCCCGACAGCAGGATAGCGGGGCATTAGTGAGCGCACGGAGTAGAGGTGGTGTGGATGTGCGTAACGGGAGGTAGGACTGTGCCCGAATGCAGACGGGGAGCGGTTGGGCAGCGCTACGTAGCGGCGGGCGGTGAATTTACCCGGCAGTAGCAAGCGGAGCAACACCGCAAGAGGGGTATGGTGCCAGCAGGCAGCAGCGGGGGGAACGGAGTACATGCGGAGTGCTAGCGGGGCTGGCTGGGCAGTGTTGAGCGGTAGCGGGCGGGGTGGCAGCGGTGTAGGCGGCTGAGGGGAAGTGGGGAGAGGGGGAGTGAACCCGGATAGGAGCCCGACCAGGTTCGTGCGAGAGTGGAGTGGGCGATGGCGGAGCCAGGCGGAAGTGCATCGCAGTGAAGGGGGCATAGCTCTCCTGACTCCGAACGGGATTAAGAGGAGGGAGAGCCGGTTCCGGGGTTATGACCCCGGGCGAACACAAGAATGTGGTTAGTTTCAGAAAGGGGTTAGTGTGGGACGAGGCAGTGAGAAAAGCTCCCGCGCGGAGCTATGGCGGGAGTGAGGAGGAGGGAAAGTGGGGAGTGCATATCCCCCTTGTTTCCGAATGGAATCGGGCAAGGGAGGGCCCGTTCCCAAGGTTTCGGGCCAGGGCGAGTTTAGTGGTAAGGTCAGTTTTCAGATTAGATTAGTAAAATTAGAGTTAGTAAAGAAATAAGGTCCGCGAGCTATGGCGGAGAAGGGAGATGACTGAGGGGAAAACGGTGACACCTCTCGATTCCGCACGGAATCGAGTAGACTAAAGTGGTAGGTAGGGGTTTTGGGGCGGCGCGAGTATGATGACGGTGTCGAGCGCATCTTGGTCCGGCACCGCACGTGGCAGCGCGGGACCCTCTCGGCCGCGTCACGCAGGAGTTGCACCAACCTCGTCACGAACACACAAATGGAGCTTCCTTAGGCCGCTCCGGCCGAGTGCGCCAGCCATACCTCTCGCGAGCCCCTACAACAGGATAGGGCCTACGCGCGGCACAGCTTACCTCCACCTTACGGGAGCTGTCACCTCCCTTCAATGGGCGTATCCCCGCCGAGCTACCAGTCCACAGTGCGGAAGCTACTCGGTTGCAATCGCAGAGGTGAACCAGCCGAGGGCGTTTCTTGTTCACTGTAGCATAGGCGGTACGCGTGGTAATACGCCTATCGGACCCGCACGCGAATCGACATCTTGGGGGGGCTGAAGTCCCAAGCGCGGCTCGTCGTCGGTCGACGAGGACGCATCCCACACACCACGCGCACACCACTTTACGAACACAAAAAAAATAAAACACACACACACACACACACAACACGGCACAACACAAACAACGCGACAACGCTCCTAGCCCCTCGGTAGCGAACCCATAACTCTCCGATGCGAAAATCGGATAGGCGTCACGCGCGAGACTTAGTATAAAACCGCGCCGACGCAGGGCTAACTCATATCGACTCGCAATGCGAGCGCATGCAAGCGGTCGCAATGATGGCGTACTATGTAGTACCCATACTCACGCGACCATCATTAATCTCGAGGGTCGCGTTCGACACTAAAGTGTGGGCTGACACGCGCTTTAAGGATTAATCTCTCGACACTGGACAACCACCATGCGCGGTTGAAGATCACACACCCTCTTCTGCACTCTGTGCAGAGCGGGTGGTACACAGGTCCATACCTGTGGTGGCAGTCACTTCTTGCGGCCCTGGGGATGAGTCCTGCTCCAGGCCTGAGCGAAGGTCAAGGGGTTTGACTTTGACGGCTGCCACGGACTACAACGTCCAACTATGAAAATTCCAAAAAACAAAGAATAAAAGGAATCTCCCTTTTCTCTCAAAACACAATCTGGTTAACCCTTACGCGCAATTACAGTGGGTCTCCCACATACTCAGGGCACTTATAAGTATGTAAGGGTTAGTTATATAGGACGACCACTTCTCACAGTCACAGTGAGGCTCCTCTTAGCCATATATGTATGTAATCGCAGGCAGTCACATCCCGAAGCAGAACCACAACCATACCTGCAATCGCATCAAAGATTCATCCAAAAGTCCACGCACTACACGGGGTCAACTTCAACCATTCCTTGCGGTCATACCCCTCGCTTTAGCCATACAAGCCTCACTCGTGCAACTCTTAAATAAATACTCAGTACTTTTGTTGGATGGCCATTCAATAAAGTCCGGGTGAAAACAGAACAAAACAGTTCAATCACAAGGCTAAAGCCTTTAGGTTGAGTGGCAGGAGTGAATTGGAGTTGAATCGTAAACCGACGAATCGGCAACCGACCTGTTATCAGTGATAACAGAAGATGATCCTCGCAGGATCAAGATGAATCTAGTCCAAATCCTGAACCGACGGTCAAGACGACCTGGAACACATGACAGGCCAATCCCCAAGCTAAAATCATAAGCGTATGGAGAATACAACTCCATAACACATTCTCACCCAAATCATCCAAGCTCGCTAGGCCTGAGTCTACCTTTAAGCAGTGCCCAAACCAAAGGTAGATCCTGACATAATCTCCCCTATACATAGTGGATCGCCAAAATCGCCACCTGTGAAAATATAATCTATCTCCTTTAAACTAAGAAAATTTCGGCAGTGCTTCCCGTAGGAAAAGTACCTTTTTATAATTTATACCAGCCCGAATATGAAAGCAGAAATAGTCTTCGACTTTCCAAAGTCCATTTTTTGTCTAAATCCCTGAATTAGCAAAATTTGGGCAGCACTCCCTTTAGAAAAGGAGACTTTCCATATTTTTACTAAGTCAAATACGAACCTTAGACAAGTCGAACTTTGAAAAGCCAGAAATTTGACTAACTCCTTGGATCTGCAGAAATTTCGGCAGCGCTTCCCGTAGAGAAAGTAACTTACCAAATTTATACGAGCCCAAGTATAATAAAAAATCCCAGAAAATGCAAGAATCGATCCAAGTAAAAAAAAACTTAGCTCAGAAAATGCAGGAATTGAAACTAACTCCTATCGCTCTAGCACGTGGCGAGCCTCTAAAGCAACTACCTGTGAAACTGAAACTCAGACCAAGTAGTAGCCTCACTCACTCACATGCAGGCCAAACCACAAAGGTAAGTACTCTCGCCACCCCAAGTCAAACTTTGCAAACAATAGTTTGTAATCTCTCGATGCTTTATTCCCTTATACCCAGATTACATAGGGCATAAAGTCAAGCCGTCCAATCTTATGGAACCTGCCTGACTCAGCCATTGAGTATACACGAACAGGTTGCACAACTACTTCTCTCTTCCTTTTGGGCAATATGACTAAGCCGTTCATCTTAGAACAAGGCTCAACCGCCCCGAACTGTTTAATATCCAAATTATATATACCTCTCTTASCTTGGTGTTCAAAAGTTGGGCATAGGAYTGAGCCGTTCATCTTAGAACAAGGCCCAGCYTGCCCAGGGTTACCTTCAATTATACTCTTAGTTATACTCTCTTCATTTCATGATAAGCTATAGCCTGGCCATCCAATCTTATGGAACCCATGCCTGACTAGCCTGTTCATAGATAGAATAGCATAAAATATAGCCAAAATTTAA